TGGTCAACTTAAGTGTGGGTGGTGCTGGGAGGCATTGTTCAGAAGCCACTAGCCTTCAATCAGTAGGCTTTAAATAAAAGAGATCACCCTCATGGTATTATGGTTCGGCCTCCTGCAAAAGACGGATCCACCCCTCCCCCAGAGGAGGGGATTCTACCTTTGAGGCTGCCCTTGGACTTGAGCTACAGCCTGCAGACTTCCCTGGTCTCCAGCCTGCCAGCCCAGGAGCCGGTTCCTTACAGGCCTCTGTCTTTCTCCATGTGACTTTTAGCATGTTAAATATGTGTGCTATGGATTACACATGGATGATACCTGATACATACTACACACGTGTTCTATGTCACACTTATAGGAAGCAGACATATGTTAAATAAGCTTGTTTTGTGTGTATTCCTACTGCCTGCTTCTCTGGAGCACCCTGCCTTGCGCCAGGGCCCTGGGCCGCTCCCCTGGTGAAATCCTCTCACTCCCCCAAGATGTGTCCCCTTTCCCTGCTTTCAGGCAAGGATGCCGGGTGGGGTCCCTAGGAGGAGGGAGTTGAGGAGCGGTAACTGGCCTCCAGTTTGGCCTGGAGGAAGCCTTCACCCACTTGGGCGTGATTCCCGCTCCAAGGGCGTCAGGTCCTGGCCAGCAGGCGTACATCTGGCAAGTGCATGGTCCCTAGACCTGAAGACATCCAAACATCTGGGTTGCTGTTAGCAACGCACTGACCTCACACATAGCTGTGGCTTAGGCAGACCAGCGCGAGAGGCAGCCCCTCCAAGTCCGAGGGGTCATCTGTGGCCATCTGAGGCTCTGGACTCTCCTGCCATAGATGGGACTCTTGAAGGGTCATCAAACCCAGCCTGACACTGAGAAGGAGACCTTTCGGCCACGCCTCGAGGCCCACCTCCCCTGGTGCCCCCACACACCCCTGAAGGCTTTCCCCTGCCTGCAGGGCCTCAGGAGCAGACTCCAGGTCTGTGAGCTCCAACAGCAGGGGCACCTGGCTAGGACGGAGGGTCAGGCCTACCAGGGTGGGGCGTGGGGACCAGGAAAGCTGGGGTGTCACAGTGATCTTTGGCTATGTCCACCCCTGGCCACAGGTGGGGTCTCCAGGTCTAACATGCCTCTCCTGGGGTGGCCGTGAGCTCTGAGGAACCTTCCATGGATGCCCTGGAGTGAAGATGGTGAGGAATCGGCCTGGGGAAGACGTCCTGAGGAGGGGTGTGGCTGCAGTATGCTGTGGGCCTCCTTCTTCCAAGAGCCTTAGACCACCCCCCTCCATAGCTCTTGGCACTGACCTGAATGTTCCAGAACCAGCTATGTCACCTCCTCCCAGCTCAGGAAGAGCTGTGTGGGCCGTGCCTGCTGTTACTTCTCTAACTGTTCAAAGAGTCTCACCCCAGAGATGGCAGATCTTGACCTTTCCCTCCTCAGTGATGGAAGAGTTTCACAGAATGTCTTTTCTTGACCCCGTTTCCACAAGTGACTACTTCAAAGAGGAGGGGATTCTGGTTTTCATTGCTTACTGTCCACAGCAGAAGCCAGGGAAGGAGCCGGGTCTGGAAGGAATGGAAACGTTTTGCGGGGATCTCTTTAGGGAGAAGAGTAGAGGGACCCAGAAGAGGCCGGAGGAGTCAGACTCGATGTGGCAGCTTCAGACCTCCCAGGTGCAGTCCCCTCCCGGTGTGCAGTCCTGCCTGGCCAGGGCTTGACCTCGGCCTGTCCATAGCCCTGGTGAGCTTTCTCGCCAGGGTCGGGGTGGCACTGAAGGAAGTGACTTGCTCCCATCGCAGCTCAGAGAGATGGAGGCAGGGGCCTGGGAGGGAGGGGAGCCGAACCGAGGCTGAGGGTTGCCCTGCTCGGTGACAGGTACCATGGCCATGCCAGCCTAGAGGAGGAGAGCAGAGGCCAACCCTGAGTCGCTGGCACGTGCCAGCAAGAGGACATTGAGCCTTGTGCACGTGTGTCCCCCTGAGAGCTGGAACCCAATGAAACGCTCACAGATTGTGGTCCTAGGACACAATCTTTGTTTTGATGTTGTTCCTGTTTTGCACTTGGTTTAGCCAAAAGGCCGAGGTGTGGTGTTTTTCTTTGTTTCTGAATAGCTTTGCAGGGAATATGCTGTCCTTGTAGGATGGAGCAAGATGATAAAGTTTGAAAGGGGAAACACTTGGGTTCTCAGTCCCCCTCCTGCCACCTCATTTTTCTCCCTTGCAGAGGGACTCAGTTCCACCCGTGCCCAGGCTGAGCTCAGGTGGCAGATGGCTGGTCCTTGGGGACACGGGACCTGCCTGTTAGGAGCTGCTGTGCACAGCCCCCCAGATCCCCTGCGGAAGGCACTCATTCTCTGCTTCCCTGGCGCCTGGCCCTGAACCTGGCATGCTGGCCTCCCCAGAGCACCAGGGACCTTCCTGGTACCACGTTGGCCGTGTTAGCATCGTCCCAGGAGATCCTGAGGCCCTGGCCTTCCCTCAGCGAGGCAGCCTGCAGCCCTTCCATCTCCCCGCTCGCCTGGGTGCTGCCCGAGTTTGCTTGGTCACGAAGGTTTTAATATTTTCCAGTTGCAACCAGGGACATGAGTGTGTCTCACCCCTCATGTCCATCTCCGGGAAAGCAGCTGGTTTCCCTAGAAACAGCTGTGCCTGGAGCCAGGGGCACTGAGGTTGGAGACACTGGCTGGCCCCTTCCCTCCACCCGCTCCCCTTCCCCCGTCAGGGTTTGGAGCCTACCCCACCACCCAGTCTGGGCAGCTGCCTGCTCTTCCCAGCAGAGCCCTTGGCATTGAGTTCTCTCTGCTTCAAGACAGAGTTCTTCCATGTCCTCCAGGACAGCTATGGCCCACAGAGCCCTCTCCCAGCTGTCTGGGCCCTGGGCAGCTGTGGAATTCGTGGTGAGGATGTTTCCTCCACCGCTTCCCTGCCCCCACTGTCCGACCTCAGTGCACACGGGGTTGACCCCGCTGTGGGACACTGAGGTGCCAGCATTTCACTCCCTGGTGCAAATTCATCAATAAGACCATTCATCATACAGGGGCATGTGAGAACCAAAGAGACCGCCCACCGGGCATGGGGACTGGGCTAGACGTTGCAGGAGCAGGGGACAGCTCTGCTGCTCCTTGGCTACACCCATCTGGGCCAAGTCACTTGATTCCTAGCCTCCCTGTCTTCATCTAGGAGAAGGAGACAAACATATCACAATAACAAACCCCAGTGGAGACTGTCTTCTCCCGGGGTTGCTGCCAGCCCGTGGCTGCCGGTGTTTCTGGAAGAACTCGGGTATTCTCCCCTGTGAGGCACTTCACCAACAGGACTGACACACAGCCACGGAAACACCTACGAAGCAGTCCTGTTTTCTGTGAGAGGGAGGAGGCTGGGTGGGTCTCCCTGCTGGGCAGGCAGGGATGGCAGGAGGTCCCTGCCGGTGCCCCCAGGCCCTGCGTGGGAAGGCTTGGGGGCTGGGGGAGGAAAACAAACACAAGTTCCATTCCAGGCAAGGCTGGGGGGCTGTGCCTCCGAGGCCCTGGTGTGGTGGGGCCAGGAGCCCCCGTGGATTAATGAGTTCCAGGGGCAGTTGGCAACACAACTTTGACAAAAGCGTCCATTGAAACCGGCCATGAGTCATCTGCTTGGTAAGAGCAGCGGGGTGCAGGGGCCTGGCAGTCTCGCAGCCTCCCTGGGAGAGCAGACGTGGCTCTGTCCACGTGGCCACCGCGGTGGCATCCAGTGGGCGAGGCTGGCAGCCTCCCAGGCAGCAGAGGCCTCGTGCCTCAGTTTCCCAACGGTGCCGCTGGCTTTGAGACAATTTCCCTCAAATCATAAAACTAATACTCTATGGACAAAAAAAAAAAAATCTGTATAAGAAAAATAAAACTCAACACATAAATTTGTCCCTAAGGATATCCTTGATCTTCATCTTGACCCAGCTCCTTTCTTCCCAGCAGGTGACACAAGTCAGGTCACATGAAGCTGGGCCCCAGCTGCGTGTGCACAACCTTAGAAGCCAGTGGCCCCGGATGTCAGGTCCCCCACCCACTCACCCAACTCGCCCTCCCCTCTCCCTCCCACGTCCTGGCACTTAAAGTCAATTGAGATTAGAGTCTCTGGGATTTTTATCATTGAACATGATGCTTACCTTGCTTTAGGAGTCTATCGATGACAAGCACAGTTCTCAATTTTTTCTTTTCTTTTTTTTTTGGCACTTAAAAAATCATCAGAATTGGCCAGAGATGGTGGCTGGCGCATACCTGTAATCACAGAGGCTCAGGAGGCTGAAGCAGGCAGATCCTGAGTTCAAAGCCAGCCTCAGCAACTTAGCAAGGCTCTAAGCAACCCTGCAAGACCCTGTCTCAAAATAAAAATTTTAAAAAGGGCCGGGGATGTGGCTCAGTGGTTAACTACCTGGGTGCAATCCTGGTATAAAAAGAAAAAGAAAATTATCAGAGCTGGTCGTTGACTTTTATGAATGCCTCTTTAACTGTATTGAGCTTTTTTCTTATTTTCCCTGGTACACTCGTGTGCACGTACGCGCGCGCGCACACACACACACACACACGCAGATGCACCAATACTGTTTTTGTGGTACAGGAACTTGAACCTAGGGGTTTCCACATGCTAGGCAAGCACTCTACCACTGATACAATCTCAGCCCTTTTCATTGTTTTGAGACAGGGAGGGCCTTGTGAAGTTGCTGAGGCTGGCCTGGAACTTGTGATCCTCCTGCCTCAGCCTCCCCAGCCACTGAGATTACAGGTGCAGTCGGGCCCTCATGTAGGTTCTTTTTTTTTTTTTTTGAGAGGTGAACTGGGCTATGATACACGTGCATGGGGCTGTCCTCTGGTGACATAACCAGGCAGAGTGGGGCTGGAGTGCTGGGCAGAGAGGGCATCTCAGGAGGCCACTTCCAAATGGTGCTTAATAAGAGAGGTTTGGACCCTGTGTTTGGGGATGTCTGGAAGCCCAGAGCCAGCGCGTGGGTCTGAGCCCGTCCTGATGTGGGGTGGGCTCTTCTCTCCCCAGAACTGTCTCAGCAAACAGCAGCTCCTCTCGGCCATCCGCCAGCTGCAGCAGCTGCTGAAGGGCCAGGAGACCCGCTTCGCGGAGGGCATCCGCCACATGAAGAGCCGACTGGCCGCGCTGCAGAACTCTGTGAGCAGGGTGGCCTCGGACGCGCCCCCAGGTGGGTCCCCGTGTTAGCACTGCTGGGGCCTAGAACCCACTCAAGCGGCCGGCAATTCTATCCCCAGCCCAGGTCACCCCTGCAGGAAGCCCTGGACGGCCCTCTGTCCTCCCTCCTCCCTGCCTCCCTGCCTCCATTTCCATCAGAGGGCACATCTTAATCCTGGCTGGTGTGCCTGTGTGTGTGAGTGTGTGTGTGTGTGTGTCTGTGCGCGCGCGCGCTCGTATTAAAACAGCGCCTACTGTCTCCCCCGACCTGTCACCCTCTTTCCTCTTACACCTTCATTCTGGGCTACACAGCCACCATGGCCCTATGATCCTGCAGAACTGCCAAAGCAGTTGCTCAATAAATGTGGATGGCATCAATGAATGGATTCCAATTAGTTAGAAAACAATCGTCAATCACGTCTCCACTTTCCTGCCCCTACCCAGTGGGACAGCAATGGGCTTGTCATTTAACAATTTTTTTTTTTTTAAGCACTGTTAATGGACATAAGGGCCTTGCACATGCGCGGCAAGCGCTCTACCGCTGAGCTTTACTCCCCATCCTTAAAGGGCTGTTTTTTAGGGCAGTTTTAAGCAAAACTCCTGGGAAAGCGCCAGAGCGCAGGCGCACGCCCCATCCGGTGCTGGCATCCCGCAGCGGGTCGGCCCCGCTGCTCTGTGCGGGAGACGTGTGTTCAGGCGTGAAAAGCATCCTCCAGAGATGTTCCAATGCGGGGAAGCGGAGAAGGTCCCCCGGGACAAGTCTCGCCTGTCTGTTGAGGTTGCAGCGCGGCCCGAGGCCCCTCTGCAGGGGACAGCTCCGACTGCACAGGGGCGCCTTCCCCTGGGTGACCCTGCGGGTGGGCGCGCTGGACGCGGGCGGGTGCTTTCCTCTGGCTCCATGTCCTGGGGCGGGAGGGGACGGAGCCTCTGGCCTGACCGCACCTGCTCACCGCAGACACACCATCCGGGCGCTCTTTGCGGTGGAGACCGTTTCCTGGGCCGCTACTTTACAGAAGTTGTGGTGCAAATCCAGAGGCTCAGCGCGGAGCCCCCTCCTGCTTCCCTTGGCTGGGCTCAACCTGCCAATAAAAACTCACCCTTCCCAGGCAGGTGGTGCCCCAGCCCTCAGTGGGGTTCCCCACACCAACTCCAAGGGGCAGTCAGGGCGTCCTTCTCCCTACAGACGGGGAAACTGAGGCCAAGAGAAATGGGTTAGCAGCCTCGGGCCCTTGATCCAGTGATTCTATCCTCTCCTGTTAAAGGCTGGACTCCACAGAGCCTGTTCCGCGGGATTGCAGAGAACTGCCCGCAGGGAACCCTAAAGCACGCCCTGCCCGTGTCTTAGGCCCCTGTCCACCAGACCCACGGACAGGCAGTGCTCATGACATAACTCGTCCTCTCATCCCCAGCTTGGGGCTTTCTTCCCTGACCAAGGTTAGGTTTTTTAAAAGTGGCAAGTTCTCTTTTTAAAAAGAGCCCATCGTGTACTGTGCCTCACAATAGGTGCTGGACACAGTGCTGGGTGTCACAGGGGTCCAGCCCCGGGACAATCCTATCAGGTTGTCTTGAGGTCCCTGGGCCTCCGGAAGGCCAGACATTGCCCCAGATCAAATGGCCAGTAGTGGGGAAATTATCTTCTGCTTTGTTGTGGGGGCAGGGGCATTTGCTGGGGGTGAGCAAGAATAATTGCTGGTCTTCCTGTTTCTGGCACCAGGCCCTGTGTCTCCCTGACCCCAAGCTGCTGTGATGACTTACCTGCTGATCTCATTCCTTACACACTAACCTCATTCCAAAAGGTGCAGGGAATTCATGTGGCCCTATGTACTCACCAGGACATTCTCATAAAGTGGATCCACCCAGGGGTTCCTCCTCATCCTCCACTAGAACAGTGGCCTTCAGCTCTCTTTGGGGATGTGATTGACAATTGGTTTCTAACTAATTGGAATCCATTCATTCATGCCACACACATTCATTGAGCAACTGTTATGTGCCAGATACTATTCAAGCTATCTAGGTACAATTACTTGTGTTGCCCCTACAAGTGGTTTTTCTTTCTTGAGGGTTTTTGTTTTGCTCTTGGGTTTTTTGTTTGTTTGTTTTTTTCAGTACTGAGCATTGAACCCAGAGGCTCTTTACCACAGAGTTACAGCTCCACCTATTTTTTTAAATATTTATTTTTAGGTGTATGTAGATGGACATAACACAATGCCTTCATTTTTTTATGTGGGGCTGAGGATCGAACCCGGGTCCTGCCTGTGCTAGGCGAGCGCTCTACCACTGAGCCACCATCCCAGCCCCAACCCCCCACCCATTTTTATTTTTTATTTTGAGACAGAGTCTCAGTAAGTTGCCCAAGCGGGGCTTCAGCCTGAAATTCTCCTGCCTCAGCTTCCCAAGTCACTGGGATGACAGGCATGTCCTATCATGTCTGGCTCTTTCTTGAGGTTTTTAAATATTTCTTCTTCCCAAAGACACCCTATTCCTTTCCCCCTCCAGTATTTTAAACTTTGTCAACATGATAAAGTTATTTAAAAATAACCATGGAGTCACCTATCTCAGGCTCTGGGCAGCACCCTCTGGATGTAAGCTCCCTCCTGCTTCAGGAACTCCCCATTAATAAGAACCCCTGAGAGCTTCAGGGATCAGCTCCTGCCCTCCTGCCCCTCCAGGCTGCCCTGGCTGCCCCGTGGAGAACCCTTGCTGAGTCTGGCTGGGGTGGAGTATCAGGGCACAGTGTGGTGGCAAGCGTGCCCTCCGGGCCTCTTGAGAGCTGGGTTTTGTCTGTCTTGGTCGCAAGTGGCAAATTCTCTTTTTAAAAAATGCGTTTTACCTGGGGACGCAGGGAGAGCCCAACACATGCTGTGTCATTCATCTGTTGGTTCAAGAACCATTTATGGGTCATTCACTAAGCGCCAGGTATAGGGCTGGTGCTGAGGACACAGCAGGGACCAGGCCAGACGGCACCCAACAGAGAATACTAACCCCAAGGTGGAGACAACCCGGCCGGCAAGGATGTTCAAATGGTTGCCAATCTAAGAAGAACGTCAGGGAGCTGTGGGGCGAGGTGCCCTGGAGGTCTCGGCTGGCCATGGTGGCCGGGGAGCACTCACTCTGGGAGGTTCTAGCATTTGAGGAGAGACCTGAAAAGCAAGAAGGGGCCAGCTGGGAGAAGTTCTGGGGAACATTTCAGGCCGAGAGGACAAAAGCCGAGGCCTGGAGATGGCCTGAACCTAGCCTGTTCAGGACACTTAAAGAACCCCAGTGAAGCCAGGGCTGGTGGCAGACACCTGTAATTCCAGTGTCTTGGGAGGCTGGGGCAGGAGGATCACAAGTTCAAGGCCAGCCTCAGCAACTTAGCGAGGCTCTAAGCAATTTAGGGAGACCCTGTCTCAAAAATGTCTGGGGATGTCGCTCAGTGGTGAAGCACCCCTGGATTCAATCCTCAGCACCAAAAAGAAAAAGAAAGAAAGAAACCCAGGGGGCTGGAGCTCCCAGAAAGCAGAGCCAGTAAGTGGCAGCGAGAGGGCGAGGCAACCACAAGAGGGCGGAGTCCGCCCCTCTCTTAGGCTCCCACTTGGTGTCGCTGAGCCTTGTTGCACCTTTCATCAAGCAGGCACCCCAAGAGCCCCTGAAGACTGGGTGAGAGGTGTGTCCTGCTCGGCACAGCCTGCAGCGGGACTCTCAGAGGTCCACCTCTGCAAGCCAGGAAGCCGACTGTGGCCTGGAGGAGGGCTCCTCACCCTTCCTTTTCTCCTTACAGTTTCCTGCCCGGCGCTGAGCGCCCCAACTGACGGCAGGAAGTTTGGAAGCAAGTACTTGGTCGACCATGAAGTGCATTTTACCTGCAACCCCGGCTTCCGGCTGGTGGGGCCCAGCAGCGTGGTGTGCCTTCCCAATGGCACCTGGACAGGGGAGCAGCCCCGCTGCAGAGGTACGGCCCGCCCAACGCACTGCTCGGGTCTGCTGGGTAGGAAGGGTTGCTCCCTGGGACACTTTCGCTTGATTCTTTAATCATTCCTGGACCACAGAACATGGGGAACTTGTCTTGACTCCAGGCCTGGGCTGATCTCTGCATGAGTTTGCTAAACCCTCACAACAAGGTCATGTCCTTGCATAGAGGGAGATTGAAACCTTGAGGTAAGGTCACACAGCTGAGAACACTCTGACCCCAGAGTCTTTGTTCTTCAACACCTTCCTCTGCCCTGGATTCTGGCAACTGGGTCTAATTAGTTGGGGACAAGAAGCCACCCGTGCTTGAGGAGAGGGACAAGAGGCAGGGCCTGCAGTGGTCACTCTGTTCTGGGGTTGCAGTCTGCTTGTGAGCTGCAGGGGTTCCCCAGGATGGAGGAAATCCCACTGGTGTCCTTTGTGTCTGTAGACAGGCTCAGGGAGAGTGCTTTGAGATGTGTGGACGCAGGACACGATTTTTTTCTTGATGCTAGTTTGAAAACAGAACTTTATGATGTGGAGTGCCGGGTTTCAGTTCTAGCAACTAAAAGGCTCAGGGGTCACTCCAGTTGAACTGGGCTGACTGGGCTGTGCAAAATAACCACACAAGAGACACAAATACCTTTTTCTTTGGGAGTCTCTGTGACAACTCCTCTGACCTTAAGGGTCGGCAGGAAGAGAGAGAGAGAGTGAGAGCACATGCTGACCCCTTTTATTGAGAAGAAGCTATTCAAATGAGGCAAGAGATCAGGTTTCAGGGGGGCTGAGTCTATCTTCATGATGTCCACTGTCAGCAGGTTGACTGACACCTAGGTAGGCCAATCAGGTAAATTCCTGCTGAGAGCAGAGTGTCAAGGCAGCTGCAGTCCGCTAACTTGGGAGAAGCTGTGTCCAGCAGCTGCTGAGAGATGGGTAGTGACCTACGAGTGCTTCACTGCAGCCACCACAGGGTGACCACCACGCCCAGTTTATACTTAGATGAAAAATACCCTTATCCAACCCATTCTAGGACTTGCCACCACCTTGCTCCCTATGCCAACCCTTCCCAAATGTTAGTATACGTGGCCCTGGTATAAGTCCAGGTGGGCTGCACCATGTGGTCCTCTGGTGGGGAAGGACAAATGGCCAGGAAGGAGGCTGCAGAGACAGAGCTCAGGATGAGTCTGGAATGAGCTGGGGAGTTGAAGATCAAGAATCAGGAGAGCACCACGTGGGACCATGGAAGAGGCCAGCAGACTCACCGCCATGGTTGGCAGGCAGGACCGTCCACTCCACACAATGATCTTCCAGGGAGAATCTGACCTTCCGGGCTCTGACTTCGGTGAGGGGCTACTTAGCTCTCCCAAGACATCAGGCAAGAGGCAGTGAGCCAGTGGGTACGAACCCTCTGTCTAGTGTAGCTTGCTTGTGACTGGCACCACACTGGCTGGTTAGGGCCCCGAATCCATCCATGCTCTGAAGCTCTCAGGATCTTCTCTGCTTCTAGTAATAGCAGGAACAAATACAGGGTGTTTCTCAAAGTTGAGTTAACATCAGTAATAACTAGAGAATATACTAAAAGTGCCGATTTCCTTGGTCTCCAGCCGGGCGGGTCTTTGGAGGCCTCAGTGCCTGCTTCCCATGAGCTGTCTGGGTGGCTCTGGAGCACACTGCACAGAGTCACGGAGGAGGTCCTGCTCAGCGTGGGGAGTCCTCCCTCATGACGAGAGCACCCAGGATCCCTGGAAGACACCCTCTGCAAGTCGCAGAGACAGAGCTCAGCTGGGGGGCGCCAGGGGTCCCACCTCTGTCACGCAGCTCTTTTCCATGCCTGGGCTCCTGGCCCCCACGTTTGTAGCTCTCTGCCCGAACACATCCTCCCAGGTCTCTTCTCTGATCCACTCCTCCTGTCATCTGAATCACCTGATGCTCACCCTAAATGCACGCTCTCTTCAAGGACAGAGAATACGGGTGGTACCCAAACAGTGAGCCGGCAGCACCAGGCCGTAGAAGGCCTCTGATTGCACCTCAGATTAGAAATGTGAGCGGGCGTTGTGGTGCACACCTGTCATCCCAGCTCAGGAGGCTGAGGCAGGAGGATCACGAGTTCAAAGCCAGACTCAGCAACTTAGCAAGGCCCTAAGCAACTTAGCAAGACCCTAGCTCTAAATTAAAAATAAGAAGGCTGGGGATGTGGCTCAGTGGTCAAGCACCCCTGGGCTCAATCCCTGGTACAAAAAAAAACAAAACAAAAAAAAGGTTAGAAATGTGGGGAGTTGGTATGGAGCCTGTCAATAAATGAGCATCCTGGGCAGATCCAGAGAAGGCAACAGGACGGGTCCAGGGGCACCTGTGTGTGTATGTGTCTGGCCACTGAGGCCCCAGCCCCCCTCCCACAGACTCCAGGTGGAGGCCAGACTCTGTATCTTCCACTGGAGGCCCCCAAAGAGAGGCAGTGGCCCCCAGCCCTTGGGGTCAGGCTGAAAGACACCGGTGTTCACACCTCTTGACTCTCTGCCCACCTCTCCATGGTTTAGTGGTAGCCCACTCTTGGAGTGGGCTGGTGGCCATGATGGGGCTGGACCACAGGTCCACACAGCAGTCCAAGCTCCATGGCATTTGTGAGCTGTTGTTCCAGCCTCTGTCCTGGAAACTGGTCACCTGAGAACAGAATGGCTGGCAGAGGGCACAACCAGGCTGAGGATATAGAGCCACGGAAATGGGTCCTGTCCCCTGGGCAGGTGACATCTGCACAGTCTGGGCCCTATGGACAAACAGAAGCCCTCAGAAAGGTTTACATAACAAGGCAGCCCCACAAAAGCCAAAGTCCTCTTGAATCCCCCCAAACAAGGCTATGATTCTCCTTACGTTGATGAGGGCAAGGGTTCAAGTTCCCATATGCTGCCAGCAGGTCAGCAGGCAGACCTCTTCTTCCTGCGCAGATGACTTGTACCTGGACTGAAACCCGGCTTAGGAAGTCCATAACAAGCACACAGCCTGAGGGCTTTGAAAATCATCTTTACATAACTAAGATATGCAAATGAGTGTTGGGGAAAGTGGATGCAGACTAAAAGCTATAAATAAGCCAAGAACAATCACCTAGCACTCAGAGAAAAATGGAGTGTGCACTTTTACAGTCCGTGTGTCTACCCAGAGCTCTTCCACAGACCCGTCGAGGGCATGAGCAAGGAATGGCATTACTGAAAGGTCGATCACTCCTACCTGGTGAAGCATAGGAGAGCTTGCGGCTGTGAAACTGGGGACTCACTGTTCCCATTCCCAGCATCCTGCTGGGCTCTCCCTCCCCTTGACAACACCCCTGAATTTCACTCCTGTTTAAAGGTTGTTCCACTTTGACACTGGCTAATGGGGACAGAGGGAGTGGGCAAGAGGACAGAGGCCTCCGCCTGGTTACAGCTGTCTACACTGCAGCTTTGCACACTAAATCAGTGCCTCCGGTGGAGCACGGCCCAGTGCCAGGCCCACTCCTCACAGAGAGCAGGGTTCCTGAGGAGAGGAGCCAGGGCAGCACGTCAGCCACGAGGCCCCCTCACAGCAGGTGGAGAGGGCTGCCAGGTCAGGTGGGAGTAGACAGCTGGAGGAGTCCCGTGACAAAGGAAGTTGGCTCATGATTGCCTTTTGTTTTAGAGCTGGAATCACATCTGTGTTTGGGAATCCCTTCTCTCCTAGGTACCAGCGAATGCTCCAGTCAGCCTTGTCAAAACGGCGGAACCTGCATCGAAGGCGTCGGCCAGCACAGGTGCATCTGTCCCCCAGGGAGGACTGGGAGTCGCTGTCAGCATCAGGCTCAGACTGGTACGTAGCTGCTGCTGGCTGGTGGCAATGCTCCACTGCAGGGAGGTGAGGACCCTCGTCACTGTCACCAAACACAGATGTGTTGGGAGCTCAGTGCCCCTCAGTGGAGTGTGTCTGTCCTCTCTGGTGGATATCCTCCCGTCCCTAAGGTGGTCACTTGGAGGGAACCTGGCTCTTCCATGCAACCCGTAGCTCCGCCCGTGAGGATGTGGCTGGGAAGCCTCACTGTGGTCCTCTGCTCCATCAGCATCTCAGCCAGCAGAAGTCTTTCCTCCAACCTTCACGTGCTACAAGATGGGCAGTTGCTGATGCAGTTCAAAGCATTTGAAAATCTCAACAGCCAGACATTTGAGTAGTGAGTCCCAGTATATTCCCAGCAGAGGTTTAATGTGCCACATGGTGGCTCATTTTGCACATGGCAAGAAAACCTCATGACAAGGGACCTGTGGAGAATGGACAGGGTTCCCATGCTCTGCTCAATCAAGACTTCTATTAAAAAAAAAGAAAAGAAAGAAAAAAAAATTCAACCCAAAGATCTTCTTTTCCTTTGCCAGAAAAGCCTGGTGGGGTCTCTGTGGGGGAAGTGTACTGGTGGATGCCCAAGGTCAGGTTTGAATAGTGGCCCCGGGGAATTTGCCTCTCACTGTGCCTGAACTAGGCTAGTGAGTCAGCCTGCTGGGTGCTTCCTCTAGGGGAGCCCAGGGCTCCTGTAGCTCCTGTCCTGGGGCCAATTTCTGGGAGAGGGGGGCAGAGGCTTCTTGGCAGCCCTATTGCCTCTGTTTACAAACAAGGGGAGAAGAAACGGCCCCCACCCCAGTCTTGGTCACTGAATGTTCTACCCACCCACCTCATGTTGAGATTTCTTTTGCTGTAGGACCTTCAGGACATTGTCCTTCGGGTCCAATGGTCACTATGAAATATCTGTATGACCAGAATCCTCACCATGTTAAGGCTCTTAAAGCAGGAGTCAGAAATATTATCCACCAGTTGGTGGTCCGGATCCACCAGCTGGCGGGCCAAGCGGGAGGCTGCAAGTCTAACCTTCTAGCACCTCCTGGGGTTTGAGTACACCCTTTATAGTCCAAAACCACATTAAAACATAAGTGGCTGTTGCTACGATTCAAAACCATGAACAAACATCATGAGATCTAAAATCATAAGCAGAAAAGGGAGTGGGCCCAAACCTCCCTAGTTGAGTACAAATTAGGGAATGGTTACTAATGTGTAGACAATCAATCTCTTTCAGGGTACATAGTCCAAATTTAAAAACCGGGAGCCAAAGGCAGAGGACTTTTACATTATATAAGAATTGTCATTTTGTGTTGCCAAACATGCTTTGCTAAGCAACTGCTGATGGGCACAGAGGCAGGGCTTTCCCTGGGAGAAGCATTTCTTACATGACGTGGAGTCTCAGGGCAAAATGGAGTCTGTTTGATTATTGCCCAAGTAGCCTGGCCCATTACAACCAGGAAGGTGAAAGCGGTCGTTAGTAGGTACATCTATCTAATGCCAGCTTTTGTTCTTACAGTGTCTGTGAAAGGCCAGCAGACATCTGAGCTCTTGCTCACCTGCCCGGAGCTAGAACCTTCTTTTCCTTCCCCTCAGGGGGCCTGTGTCCTTGCAGCTGGGGTGGGGGAGCCTGTCTGCAAATGTGTGTGTGTGTGTGTGTGTGTGTGTGTGTATTTTATTTTTTTAAGACAGGTCTTACTATATTGCCAGCTGGCCTTGAATTCCTGGGCTCAAGTGAGCCTAGCCTCTTGACTGACTCAGCCTCCCAAGTAGCCAGAACTACAGGCATGTCCCCCAATTTCTTTTTTTAAAAAAATCAATTCATCTTATTTTAATTGTGATAAAATATAAATGACATTTGCCATTTTAATCACCACATTCACACCCTATTGCTTGCTACACCAACCAGCCATCTCCAGGGTGCTTTCATCTGCTAGACTTGGAATTCTGTCAGATTCCCCCTACCTCGTTCCTGCCACCAGCCCTGCCCACCTCGCCTGCCCCATGGACTGGACAGCATGTGCCCCCTGTGAGTGAAGTCACAGGGGACTGTTGTCCTCCTGTGCCTACCAGGAGTCCTCCCACTAATTCCTCTCCAATTTCCCTTAACCACATAAGAGCTCCAAATCCTTTGAAAACTTTGTAAAAATAGTTAGAAAACTAGTTTCTGTTCTTGGTAACACACACACCCACACACACCCCAAAAAAATAGAGACCCAAAGTTTTGAACTCCAAGGATCACTGTTGTCCCTGGAGTTCAAGTGTTTTTTAAAAAGAAGGGAGCAAAAATTTGCTCCTCAAATGTAGGCTCTCTCTTCACTCATTGCTTCTTTTGCTGAGAAGAAGCTTGAATGTTCTCTCTTATAAGTGGATGCTGATCCATAATGGGGGGGGGGACATGGGGAAAATGGAAAAGCTTTGATGGAACAAAAGGGAGGGAGGTGGAAGGAGGAGCATGGGGCAGGAAAGGTGGTGGAATGAGATGGACATCATTACCCTAAGGTACATGGAAGCCTGCACGTACGGTGGGACGCTATGTCGTGCACAACTAGAGAAATGAAAACTTGTGCTGCAGTTCTGTACACTGGATCAAAATGCATTCTGCTGTCATACCTAATTAAAATACATTGATTAAAAAATAAAAAGCGCTGGGGATGTTAAGAAAATAAAATAAAAGGAAGGGGGACTTCACGCCCTGGTGGGCCTTGGCGGGGACCGTCCGGTGGCCTGCGTCTCCACTCGACATCTCACTCGGGCGCCCCGGGTCCTCGCGGCTTGGGCGCCCTGCCGGGGTCCTGGAATCCTGCGCGTCTTCCTTCTCCACTCCAGGGGCAGCGCACAGGAAGGGCCGCGCGGGGCTCCCCAGGGCTGGGCCCCCCCGCAGGTGCACCCAGCCGGCACTGAGGAGTCCCGTCTTCTCCCCGCAGCGGCCCAAGAGGACGAGGACGAGGGCGACGTGGCCGGCGACCCTGCCTTCAGCCGCGCGCCCCGCTGTGCGCAGGTGGAGCGGGCGCAGCACTGCAGCTGCGAGGCCGGATTCCACCTGAGCGCCGCGGCCGGCCGCAGCGTCTGCCAGGGTAGGCGCGGGCTCGCGGGGGACCCGGGGACACGCGGGGAGTGGGCGGGGCTCCCACCGCAGCCCGCCCACCTGCAGGGAGCCCGCCCCGACCTGGGCACGCGGGAAAGGAGAGGGTGGGGCGGAGGACGCTCCCTGGGCGTGGTCTCGGAAATTCCCGCCCACTTCGCTGTTTTGATGTTAAACAAATGGATGTAGCTGCTGGGTAGACCGTGGGGGCGCTCCTCAGAAAGCCAGCCTAGAGAAAGCAGCGGGGCGGGGTGGGGATCCCAGGCGCCGCCCCTTGTCGGATCCCGGCCCCGCCTACGTGCCCAAGCCACGGCCCTTCGTGGCTTGAAGAGCTCCGAGCCCTGTTATCCATGTGCTCTACTGCGGCTCAGGCTCAGCAGCTACCCCAAGTCCAGCAATAGCCTCAACTGCTAGAGAATGGGGCCACCCTAGTTGGTGGCTGGATGACACCGGCTTCGTGGCTCCTGAAGTCAGCGGCCTTTCTCCCCTCAGATGTGAACGAGTGTGAACTCTATGGGCAGGAGGGGCGGCCCCGGCTCTGCATGCATGCCTGCGTGAACACCCCGGGCTCCTACCGCTGCACCTGTCCCAGTGGATACCACACCCTGACTGACGGGAAGACCTGTGAGGGTGAGTGAGCTGCAGCAGGGGCAAGTGGCCCTGGGTCTGGACAGTACCATCTGTACCTGATCACCAGCTGCTGCCGCCACTCATCCTAGCCCCGACCTCACAATCAGGAGTCCCCGTTAGGGGAGTCAGTGTCTCAGGTCCATTGATCTTTAAACACAGCAACAAAAGGGCCTCTCAAAACCAGACCATGCCATCTAAATAGGAAATGAGTTGCTTACCCAGTGGGAGTGACTGTTTTCAAGGTCAGATCATTTCCACCCAGCTGGGGCTGGACCCAGAGGCAGAGCAGCCAGTCAGCCACTTCTGATGTACAACCTGGAGAAGCCCATCAGATTCCAAGGCCCTGTATGGGCCTCTGCAAGGCTACCCTTAAAAGGGATGATACCTTACAGTCACTGTGCCTCCACGTGGCCAGATACACAATGCTGGCCATGTCCATGTCCTTCTGAAGGTGGAAGGCCCAGGGACTGGCAAGAGTGAGGGCTGCCACTATCCTTGGGCTTAAGCAGTGAGGAGAGGATGGGGTTTATCAGAGCCTCCTAGATGGCTGGGGGGATGCAGATGGCTGGGGTGGGGTGCAGATAGCTGGGGGGCTGGTGGCCACCACCAGATCTGGACCCAGGCAGGGACCCTTCAGAGGAGCACACACCCACCCTCCTGCCTCCAATCTGCCAGCCCAGCTGAGAGTCCAGAGGGCTGAGAGTCCAGAGAGAGCCCAGGCCAGTGAGCCTCCTAGAACAGAGGGGGTTGGATGGGCACAGGTAAGAAGGACATGACTGGCTTAGGTTCTACCCCGTGCTGAATCCTGTCCCTCAGTCCTGGGGGAGTGGGTTGAGCTTTCTAAGGCTGGTTCCAGGAATGGTGACAAGGGGCCTTCATGGACAAGTGGGAGTGGGAGGCACCCAGGGGGCAGGGGAAGAAGTGTAAGTGGGAGTGGCTGGCAGAATGGAGAGGCTGAGAGCTCTTGCAACAGTCACTGTTGTCACCAGCCCCAGGGACAGGGACATACCAACAGCAGGCCTCCTGTGACCCTACCTCTCAAGTGTTGACATTAATAAACACGAATAGTCCAGTTCTCCACAGCAGCTCGTAGTCAGAGCGTGGTAGTCCCCGTCATCCCTGGAGGGTACGTTCCAAGACCCCCAGTGAATGCCTGCAGCCAAAGCTGGTATCCAGTCCTGTGTACATACCTATGTTCAGTACAGCTTATAAATTAGGCACAGTAGGAGATTAACAGTGAAAACTAATATTAGAGCAATTATTAAAATATACTCCAATAAAACTTATCTATAACATGAATTATTTCTAGAGTTTTCCATTTCATATTTTTGGATCATGGTTGACCACTATTAACTGAAACTGAAGAAAACAAAACAGGCCTCTGGCGAGAACCACCGCACCCTGGCAGGACCCACAGCTCTGCTCTCCCCCCATGTATCCCCATGGACACAGTACACTGAGGGCAGTGCTGCCCTCTAGGGCAGTGGCAGGGGCCTCCTCCATGGGCACACCTGGGCATGTTCAGGAAGAGGTGGCTCCCTGCTAATTTCTCTTGGGGGTCCCCTGCCGGCTCAGGGGGGTCCACCTCTGGGACTGGAGTAGCAGGAGGCATCCAAGGAGCCGCCCCCCAGCCCATCCTACAGCTCATGGAGGCCCACAGAGGACTGCTTGAAGTGGGGAGAGATGGTCTTCAGCGGGGGGACTCCCTGGGTGCTTGGAAGGAGAGCAGAGCAGGGGGTGTCTGCATCTGGTGGAGGAAGAGCCCAGGAGGAAGGTTTTTCTGGAGACTTGAACCTCAGCATGCAAACACCAACACAGAGGCCTTTGGGCTGAGAGGGAGGGAAGGAGGTCAGATCCTGGGGAGCGTGCTCCCCAGCATGGTTCTGCAGCACTTCCGCAGGCCCCTGGTCTAGATGGCTGGGGGTGGTTCCTGCCTGAAGATAAGTGCCATTTGAAAGTCCCCCTTGTGTGGAGTGCTGCACTCAGAGCCTGTTGGAGCCGCTCCTGTTGGTTTGGTGATGGAGGGAAAGTCAGGGGTGGGTGGATGTTTACCCTGGGTTCCTGTCTTGTATTTCAGATGTTGATGAGTGTGCAAGTCCACAGCCCGTGTGCCCGCAGGGGACCACATGCATCAACACTGGGGGAGGCTTCCAGTGCGTCAGCCCTGAGTGCCCCGAAGGCAGCCACAATGTGAGCTACGTGAAGACTTCTCCCTTGTGAGTACAGCCAGGGCCACCCACAGCTCTTTGCACCCAGGCTCCTGCGTGTACTTGTGGCAGGGCTGGACGCCTCCAGGCCTTGGAGGAGGGAGCAGCTGTGTCACAGGAATGATGAGGGCCAGGGAGCTGGGCGACCAGCTTCTCTGAGCTCCCATTTCCCTTTAGGGGTTTGCATTTAACACTTTGCCATAAGAACCCATCTTGTCACGGGAGAGTAATGCACCTAGGGCTTCCCGGCCACAGATGATGGTGGCACTACAGCCACCTGTGGGCATGGCCAGGGAGGGCAACCAGACAGAAGCAGCTGCCTCTGATGTTACCTTGAATCCCACAGCAGCCAGAGGCAGGTATACATGACACGATTTGGAAGATGGTCATTTTCTCAATTCCACGTAGCTGGTAACTAATGGACCGAGTCATGCTGTGATTCCCTGCACTTTGTGTTACATCATCTGCTTTTCCAACAGTGCTAGAAGGTTCAATGCCCAGTATGTTCCACACTTAAACAGTAGAATTGCCTTTTTATGGGAGATGGACATTTAAGGGGAATAACAATCCCTAGCACAAAGCCCCCACACTTCTCAAAAAGATCCTGAGAGCCCTCACACTATCTTTAAGATGCAGAGAAGTGACTTCATAAGCTTAGTTATTTAAGTTGCTCTTTGGATCAAAGCAGAAATTAGAAGCATCAGGAAAATGTGTGGCACCTAAGAGTGACAGTTATAAAAGAGGATGAGGACTCCAGAACCTTCCTAAAGGAAGGGACCTGTCTGTTGTGGCCTCCAGGGACATGAGATTAACAGGTGAGTGTGTTATTTGATCTGCAAAATCATGATGGTCAGAATCGCCAGACACTAAGTTTTATTTGTCCTTTGTGTTTGATAAGATAGAGAAATATGGAAAACTTTTCTATGGGACCCTGTTCCAAGTGGGTAAGGAAGACAGGGTTTCCTGCTTTAAGAACAAAAGTCATTGTATTTGGAAAGCTCGCGTGTGCTGCCCCACACTGCCGCTGACTGTGGGGGTCCCTCCATGACAGGGGGAGGTCTTCCCACCTGCAGAAAGGGAACCTGGTTTGAATTCCAGTGTTGCTATCATTATGAATCTTCCCAGGCTTCGTTTTTCTTTAAAAACTAAAATAATAGCACTTCAATATAGACGTGTACACACACACACACACACACACACACACACACTCCCCACATGAGTCAGCAGGGCTCCCAGGACTGGAATAGATGCAGAGTCCCTTCCCTGGACATGCCTGACGCCAGCCACATTCACTTGCCTGCAGCTCCGGAGCTCGGGGTGAGGGACTCAGGGCTGGGGAAGGCCCCCTGGTGATTTTTGCAAGCTGGCAGGTGGGAGGGGGGCCTCTAGAGCTTCCCCAAGTCTGACTGCGTCCATCTTGCCTCTGCTCCAGCCAGTGTGAGCGAAACCCCTGCCCCATGGAGAGCAGGCCCTGCCGCAGCATGCCCAAGACCATCTCCTTCCATTACCTCTCTCTGCCCTCCAACCTGAAGACGCCCATCACGCTCTTCCGCATGGCCACAGCCTCGGCCCCAGGCCGACCTGGGCCCAACAGCCTGCGGTTTGGGATCGTGGGTGGAAACAGCCGTGGCCACTTTGTGATGCAGCGCTCTGACCGACAGACGGGGGAGCTGATCCTCGTCCAGACCCTGGAGGGGCCGCAGACGCTGGAGGTGGACGTTGACATGTCAGAATACCTGGACCGCTCCTTCCAGGCCAACCATGTGTCCAAGGTCACCATCTTTGTGTCCCCCTATGACTTCTAAGGGTTGCCTGGGGGTGGGGAGCGGGGGTGGAGATATGGGCTGATTCCTCTACCCCAAGGACTCAACTGTGGACACTGACTGTGACAGATGTCTCTCCCCTCTGCCTTGCCCCTTCCCTGTCACCCAGGCTCAGGAGGGTGAGCACAAAACTCAAACTGCCACGTCCCATTTTTGTCTTGCTTTAAGGCTCTTCCCTTAGATGATGCAGTTTCTCAGATCTGTCTTGTTTTGTTTTTCATTTTTTTTTTTTTAAGAGGCTGGGCAGCTTTTCAAAATGCTGCATGAATGGCATTGAGTTTGTACCATCTGGGGAGGGGACGCTCATGGCGTGTGTCCCAGATGGTGGCCAACCATTCTGCATTATTACAGACCTTGCTAGGAACAAAGTGCGTCTACCCTGTGCACTTGGCGGAGGTAGTGTCCTCCCACCCCAGCCTTATGGTGTCCCTCTCCCTTCTGTGGCACGCCTGCCAGCCTTTGTACCCGAGAGCCATGGGAGGGCCTGGACCTTGATCCTTCCAGACCAAGGAACCGATGTTAAAGCTGGATTCTGCCTGATTACTTTCCCTTTTGAGAAATCACATCTCAAAAACACTGCCTGGTGTCAGAGCTGAGGAAATAAAATCTACCGCTCCTCCTCCCTGCCCCCTCTGACTTCTCGCTGAGCACGCTGAGCACAAGACAGCCCAGTTCCTTCTGGGAGGGGACAGTGGGCTCTCTTCCTGCCTGGGGGTTGGACACACTGGAATAAATGAATAAGAGAGAAAGCACAGGGCAATCCTTGGGTTGGGTCCACCAGTCTCATTTGTCTTGGCTGCATGAGTGACTGGAAGGACATTGGGCACGGGCAGTTTAGGAAAATACTCACATCGACTGGATTCTGTGGCTTCCTACTTCTGGCAGAAGAACTGAGGGGTGAGACCCTTCAGACAACCAAAGCAGGAAGATTGGCCAGGACGGAGAAGGGGTGGAGAGGGGCTGCTCCAGTGAAAACCCTGAGGCTAGTGGGGCTGGGCGGAAGGTCCATACCCAAGCTCCTGGTAGTCCACTGGTGAGTTTCCCTCATACATATTTTATTTAAAAACTCTTTGACCTGGGCATGGTGGCATGCCTCACGAGACTGAGGCAGGAGGGTTGAAAGTTCAAGGTCAGCCTTGGCTATTTACTGAGATCCTGTCTCAAAAAGAAAAGATAACAGCTGGAAGTATTTTATAGAATTGGAAGAAAAAAAGCAAAAATTCAAAATGGCAGCTGGGATTATAACTCACTGGTTGGGCACCCCTGGGTTTAACCCCCCAGTACTGCAAAAAAGAGAGAGGGGTGGAGAGACGGCGCCAGAGGAAGTGTGTCCTTAGTTTGCCAACCAAGCTTCTTATGAAGGTGGTTTGTGGCATGGTCTGTCCTTGTTCTCTTTGTGGGACAAAACAATGAGACATGGTCAAGAGTTGCTTTTGAAATTTTCCTTCTCCCATGGGCTCAGCAATTCAGCTGCTGTCTATCGGCAGAACAGGGATCTGAAAACCTGCTTTTGTGGGTTGATACAAGACTTACTCATCATCATCCGCAGCCCTGTACTTCCAATGGTGATGTGAGGGTCCAAAGCCCACACCCCAACCAACCAGCTGTGCAGAATCCAGGCAAGAGAGCCCAAGAGCCCGCCATGCGCCTGCAAGTGAGAGCACTGTGCTGCTCCTAGCTCCGCCAGGGTTGGGGTAGCTGGGAGAGACAAGCCTTTCACCTCCCAGCACACGGGCAGTGGTCTGGGGGTCCACTGAGCAGGTGGCCCCCTAAACCAGTACATGACTAGTTTGATGCCAGCCAGGCCCAACGTAAAGCAACACATGTTCATCACCAAGATGGGCCTTCATCAAACCTGCTGCCCATTTATGAAATCACATGCTAAGCCCCTGACCCCGTAACACCCAAATATGAATGCCTGACTGCTTGGGGCTCGTGGATAATAGCTGAGCCTTTCCCTCAGGCAATGTCTTGTTCTTCGTGCTGGGCTAGTCAGCTTTTCATTACTGTAACAAAATCAAGTGGTAAGCAGAAAGAGTTATTTTGGCTCATTTTTGTTTTTTTGGCTTATTTTGGTTTTGGAGGTTTTAGTCCAGATCACTCCATTGTTCTGGGCCTGTGGCGATCGAGGCAGCAAACCATGGCAACAGCGCATGTCACAGCAGAGCCAGGAATCAAGAAGGGCAGGGGACCAGGGCCCACATCCTCTTCCAGGGCATGTCCCCAGTGATGTACAACCTCCTCATTAGGTCCTGCATCTTTAGCTTCCACCAACTCCCAATAGAGTGCCAAGTTTGGGACCAAGTCTTGAGCACACGGACTTTGGGGACACTGCAGATCCAAACTGCAGCAGCACACCTCTCCTCACTCTACCCAGTGGAAACCTGCCGCTCCATCCTCCCTGGCTTCAGTCCAGGCCTGCTAGGGTAGCCAGCCATTAACAGGTGTTAATTTTCACCTCTTTCCTGCTGGTAAGTTTCATATGCTCTGGGGCGAACTTTAAAACATTCACATAAACTTGCAAACACATAAAAAAGCGGAGAGAGTAGTATAATGCATGCCATGTGTCCATCACCAGCTTTGACAGTCAACGCGTGACCTCTCACCCCACCTCGGGACGATTTTGAAGTAGGATCCTAGACATCAGTTCATTTCATCTGTAAAGTTTTCAGCACGTGTCTCTGAAAGATAAGGACTTTAAGAATAACCTCAATACCATTCATATCTGAAAAATGAACCACGGGGGCTGGGGATATAGCTCAGTTGTTAGAGAGCTTGCCTCGCACGCGCAAGGCCCTGGGTTCTAATCCCCAGAACCACAAAATAAATAAATAAATAAATAATGATGATGGTTGCTCCACTCCTTCAAATAATCATTCTTCACATTTCCGAGTGATTCAGATCACTGTGGACTCCTCAGTCTGGGTTTTCTAGAATGTGTCTTACAGTGTCTTTTAACACGTTCTCTACATCCAGCAGGAGGCACCCACTGTCCCTCTTTCTGATGTCATCAGCCTTGAGAATCATTGCATAGCCCTGACTTAGGGTCCAGTGATGCTCTAGTGCTACTTTCCCCGTGTATTAGCTGACATGATCTGTGAGGAGGGACTTCCTTTCACCCATTCTGTGGTTACCCTGAGATGTGGTTTGTATGAGAAGGGCAGGACAGACTTTTGATCTCCCCTTTATTTTCCAATTTTCAAAACGAGGTGATTCCCCAGCATCTTTGCAAGGGGACCAGGGCAGCTAGCTGTCTTCTTAAGTCACCGTGAATTGGTGTGCTCAGAGCTCGGCTGCTGTGGTCCTTCCTGTTGCCCACATTGTCCCATCTTCTGCTCTGAGGAGCTGCTCTAAGTTGGCTGATTCCTTTTGACAGGACCCTGCTCATCTTGCTTGTTCCCCAGTTATTTTGTAGGACAAGATGTTTCTAGCACATATCCCATATTTCCTGTCTGAGCCCTGAAATCAGCCACTGCTTTCCACAAATCCCTGGCTCCTTCTGGAAGGGAATGGGAGACAGAGATCAAGATCTTTGTTCTGGTGCAGGTCTTTTGGCTTCACTGTGTACAGCTGAGAAATATATTTTATTAGTACTTTTGAAAGACAAAACACGATGCAAGTTTATGCTGATTCTTCCAATTCAATCCATGACTGTTTTTTAAAATACAACAAAACCTTTCAATATCACCAAAATAATTTGTAAATTAAAAAAAACCTTCTGAATGACAATGTCATCCTGCAAACATGATTACTGAAGACAGTTGAAATGCTTCTTTTGTGATTCTTTTTTTTTTTT